TTATTTGGCCTTGAGTAAATACAGAGGTCATATCTAAAGCCAACAGCAGGATGGGAACTGTCTTAGTTGCTGTTCTATTGCTGTGAGAGATAGGTGAGCAAAAACAAAGCAACTCTTACAGGAGAAGAAAGCGTTCAATTGTGAGCTTGCTTATAGTTTCAGGGGACTCATCACAGTGGGAAGCAAACAGGCGTGGCACTGGAGTAGTAGCTGAGAATTTTCCAACCTGATCTGTAGGCAGCAGATACAGAGGAGGACGTCGTCTCTCCTGGCATTTTGAAAGCGCAAAACCCAGCCCCAGCGACACACCTGCTTCACAGTCACACTTACTCCAACAAGGCCACACCTCTGAATCCTTCCCAGTTATTGACGGTGGCTGTATAATGACTAGAGGTGGATGTACTAGAGGTGGGGACTGCAAATCAGTCTTGAGTCTCAGTTTTCAGGCGTCAGTTTTATTCCGACCACTAGGGGGAGACATTGAGCTGTGGAAGTGTCAGATTCTGGCCAAGGAAATGGTGTTGATTTTGCATGAGGTGGGGCACTGTTTAGCGTGGTCCAGACTTTGTGCTAAACTCTCTCCACTGCACAGAAGAAACTGCTGCAATTCCAAAAAGAAATCTGAGCCATCCTCTCCTTCTTCCCATCAGTGTTTACTTCAGTACTTAATATCCCTGAGAAATTGTGTGCCCTGAACTGTGAGCAAAAACCTCAATATTTATACACAAGTGAGCATGAAATTAGAAGATTTAGGAGATCTTCGCACTTACCTATTTATTATTTGTCGTTGTGTGGGGGAGTTAAGAACCAATGTAAAAATGGTCCCGTGATACTTTCATATTATAAGGTAACGAGATCAGAATAACCATTGGTTACTGGATTTGTGAGAGTCCCACACTCCAGCAATTTCTTTATGTGAGAATTCTGTGGTTATCTCAGAGTCATTTCCTGCCTTTTTCAGCTGAGTAGGGATGAAAGAGCCTCTCGTGCCCTACCCAGGCCTGACCCTGCGCATTCTTTCAGAGCTCCGGGTGTGGCAGAGAGCTACACTTTGGTGACAGGATCGTTTCTTACATCAGTGTCTCATGTAGGGAGGGCTTTACAGTCCAGCCAGACACCGACAGTCACTGAAGCTGTGGCTAATACCTCTCTTCAGTAGCCTGGTTTCCAAGCTAGAAGCCAGACAACCTAAGCAGCTTGACAAATGGCATGGGGTTAAACGAGTTCACGACTATCAGGTCGAAATACACAGTGAAGCTGTGAAATGGAGTAATTCAGCCCTGCTCTCTAAGGTCCATGACTTCCTCTGCACAATGAGGGTCCCTCCACTTCTAAAACACGTGTGATGTCCTCATGAGCTGTTGGAAGAGAACACTTCTTCCCTTGTTCTGATGCTTGACTCAGACTCAGAGGGGACTCTCCGTCCCTTGTCTTTGCAGTCTTCAGCTGCCTCCTGCTGTTTACTCGACCAGGCTGCATATCTGTGCTGATGGAAGTAGAACGTGGGCAGTCTCTGGGCAGTGGGTAGTCTCTGTGTAATTCTCCTTCTATTTGGGGCATGGATTAACCCTTAGACATCCCAGATGTTCCTCTGTTCCCAGCTGTGCACCAAGCTTAATGCCAGATGTCTGCAATAGTCCATTTCCAGTTCTATCAAAGAGAAGGTAACCACATTCTTTTGTTGGCTCCAACAATAATGGTGTGTGTTTGTGTTTGTGTGTGTGTGTGTGTGTGCGCGCGCACATGCTTGTGTGTTTACATCTACCTGTGTGTGTATACGCATGCAAGTGTGTGCTTTACTATGTTAATTCTTTTACTTAATTCTTCCTCAGCCGAGAAGGCAGAAGCAGATCTAATGCAGTCTCTGAAACAATACTGCACTAATACTGGGAAAGGTTGGTTGACGTTCCCAAGAGGATCAGATCTGTCCACGACAGGGACATCTCCACTTGGCTCCTCTGTCTCCATCATAAGTTGTTGCCATGACATTCATAATTCCCAACGCTCGATCCTAAAGATAGGCATTGAAATTTTTATTAATTCTTCAGTTTTTCATTTAGGGTTGTCCATACTGGAAGAATGTACCAGCTTATTTTCGACTCCCCATTCTGTCTCCTAGAAACTGTGAGGTTTTTTTGTAAATTACTCGAAATTTCTGTCTTCCTTTGGTCTCCCATAAATGGTATAAAAAAATACATCTACGTTGTTGTATCAATTTTATAATGATCAAGTTCCAGAGTAACATACAATGAAACATGTCATGCACCCTAGTTTTTTAAATTTATTCTTCTCTCATATATTACATCCTGACAGCAGTTTCCCCTCTCTCCTCTCCTCCCCTCCCAGTCTCCCCTCCCAACTCCCCTTTCTTCCAGATCCACTGTTCCTCAGTTCCCTTCAGAAAAAAACAGGCCTCCCAGGAATACCAACCAATCCTGGCATAACAAGTTACAATAAAACAGGGCACATACTTTTGTATCAAGGCTGTACAAAGCAACCCAATATGAGGAAAAGGGTTCCAAAAGCAGACAAAAGAGTCAGACACAGTCCCCGTTGCCACTGTTAGGAGTCCCACAAAACACCATGCTACATAATCATAGTTTCAAATGTTCCTGGGACAAAACCTAGAATCACCGGATAAATCCCTCTCCATTGAGGGATTGCCTAGATCAAGCTGGGCGGTGGACACGTCTGTTAGGGACACTTTTGGTTGTTAACTGAGTTGGAAAGGTCTGGCCTGAATGTGCTCGCACCATCTCATGGGGTCGGCCCTGAACTAGGAGAGAAGGAAGCGGGCTGAGTGAGCTCCCTCTCTGCTCTTTGCTGTAGACATCATTTGACAACCTGCACGAAAAGGGAGGGACTGGGAGCCAGTGATGTGGCATTTTGATAGCAGTGGTCAGATAGAGAGAGGAAACCAGGAGGATGGAAAGTCTTAGAGTCTTAAAGTTACCACCTCCCTCCCTGGTCTGACTCTAGAAACCCCAGCATTTGGAGAGTCGGTTGGCTTGTGGGAGACTCTTTAATTCACACTGTCACACAAAGGGCACATGAACTCTGGCTTGTCTCTGTCTCCAGGAATAGACGTTTTCTGGTCATGTTGAGAAGCTTAGGCTGCTTGCTGAACCTCTTTACAGGTTGTTTCTAGGAGACGTCTTAGATGCTAGCATTGTGTTTGAGCACTGCACCATTTTCTTGCTTCTAAAAATGGATATTGAAACAGAAGTCAAATTTCGAATCTTTTAACAAGGCATGACTGCTTTGGCAGCTTGATACTACCTAGAATCATCCGAGAAGACAGTCTCAACAAGGGATTATCTACAGCGGGGTGTCTCATGCCCATGTTTATGTGGCACCGCCTCAATTAAGTCACTTGGTGAGAAGGATTCAGCCTACTGTGGGCGGTTCCATTCCTTTGGCAGGGGGTCCTGAGCTCCTCAGTAGAGAAATTGAACTGAGCATGAGCAGGAGAGTGTAAATGCATTTATTTCTTCCTGCTCTTAAGTGTGGGTATGATGTGACGTGCCTGCCTTTACTCTCCCTCAAAGATAGATATAAAATTATAAGATGAAATAAATTCCTTTCTTCCCTAAGTTGCTTTTTGTTGGTAATCTGTCACAGTAAAAAGGAAACTAGAACCCAAGGGTTTGCTAGACAGAGGAGGACTGGTGTGGGATGTGATGCAGGGCAGAGGAACCAGGACCTCTTGCCATGGTCACTGATATTCCATCTCATAGGACCAGAACAAGGCAATCTGGATGTTGTGACAGAGCTTTGAAGGGGAATCTCGCCTTGTCAGGGAAAACCATATTCTGGCGTGACAAGAGAGCTGGCCCAACATAGCCAAACATCTGATAAGTGGGAATAAAACATCCCTTGACAACACAACTTGATGGTTCTCTACATGGTCTACTGACTTGTGTTTCTGTCTTTTAATGAACCTTCACCTTCTCAATGCCGTTGCTTAAAGCAGGAAAGAAAAGAGAGAAAGGTCACACTGTAACTTCCTGTCTCTACTTCTCAAGGGCTAGAATTGCAAGTGTGTGACATTTTTATTGCTGGATAAGCACCATCCTTTAAACAAGTACAAGAAAAACACTAGCTTACCTGACTCCCTTTCTGTCGCCCAGACACCATGAAAGAGGATGAGTCCCATAGGCTTGGCTGGCTAACCATGTAGCTGACATTGTGCTCCAGAATTACCTTCTATTTTTACCTTAACTGGCTTCCTTACCTTTTTGTTTTGTTTTTAATCAAAGTTTCCTTTTGCTCTTCTGGGCCTAGCGAGACTGGTATGGGGCTTTCTGAGAAATTCAGTTTTGTCCAGGACAGAGGCGATTAGAATGTTTAATACTGTGCACTGTGTTCATCCAAATTATGATGCGCTAGGGCAGTTGTTCTCAACCTTCCTAACACTGCAACCATTTTAATACAGTTATTTATGCCATGGTGACCCCAACAATAAAATTATTCGGTTGCTACTTCATAACTGTAATTTGGTACTGTTATGAACTTTAATGTAAGTATCTCTATTTTTCGATGGTCTTAGGTGACCGCAGTAAAAGGGATCAGTCAACCCTCAAAGGGATCATGCATGACCCACAGGTTGAGAACCAGTGCTCTAGGGGCAGCCTGCTTTTAGACTGGAGAATTCTAGTCTTTGCAGAGGTCTTTGTGGCAGCCTTGGGATCTGACCAACTTCAGCACACGACAAAGTGAAGGGGCTCAGATTAAATTCAAAAACATCCTTGCTGATGCTTGCATGCGATTATGATTCAAGACAAGCATTCTGCCATCTCTTGAACTTGCTAGTCATTTGCATATTGTTTTTATGAAAGTATATTAACAATGGCTATTATACATTGGGCAAAGAGAAACTTTTCATACCCAAATCTATAAAGTGACTGTAAGGTAAAGTCCTCCAGGATAAGAGAAATGCATGGGTTCTTTTCATAAGTTGCAGACTCTCTTTTAGCTCAATAAAACATGAAAAATTGCTCTCACGTTACCTCTGCCTTGGCATTCTTCTCTTCTTCAGAGGTCTCCTCCAGGGTTTCAAGTGATTCTTCTACAAAGGAAGATGGGGTTACTTCGTCACTGGGGTGAGTCACACTTTTAAGTAGGTTAACTATCAAACTAGATCACATTTAAATTTCAGACACCCCGGATCTGTCATCTGACATGCCAGTGGGACGACAGGTCACTTCTCAAAGCGTGTGTGACAGGCTTTAATTGTAAAGATATGCAGCAAATGCATGAGACAGTTGAAGAGCTGGGGGAAAAATCCTTTATTTGAAAATCTCTTCTATATTATAAATTATTAGATAATAAAACTTTTATATTAATATGTATTAGGAGTGTCCACGAAAGCAGAAAGGTCCCATATGAGAGCAAAAAAGCAGCCATGCTTTCTTGGAGTTTTTAGTTAGCAGAAAGTGCAGGCAAATAAACACAGAAGCAAGGATAGTGTTGAAAACATAATGGGGGAGAGAGAGAGAGAGAAAGAGAGAGAGAGAGAGAGAGAGAGAGAGAGAGATTGAAAAGGTAAGGTGTGGTAAGTCCATGAATGGAGAGATGTGGGGTAGGCTTGAGGGAAGTAGGAACAAGGAAGAAGGAGCACTCTGTGAAAACACCCAAGAATTAGAGACCACTTTCTTTCTTTTAGGGGAACTGTTGGTTAACTAATGTGTTTAGGGTTTTGGGATTTTGGAGAAGCGGTGGCAGTTGCAGAGAAAGCAGATGATAACAGCCTCAGGACCATAATCCACAGTCACGTGATCCTATGGTCAGTAGGAACCCATAAGATGGCAGGATTTTATGTCCACAGCGATGCAAAGATTTGGGGACTGGAGAGGAGGCCTAGCAGTTAAGAGTGTGTACTGTTCTGCCAGAGAGCGGAGTTTACTGCCCTGCACTCAGGCTGGACAGTTCACAATGGCCGACAGCTCCAGCTCCAGCTCCAGTGAGATCCTCCATCTCTGCCTGCCTTGGGCAACTACACACACATGAACATAACCACACACAGGCACACACACACACACACACACACACACACACGCTTCATTAAAATACATTTAAAAGCTTTGAGAGTACATCATTATAACACAATAAAGACAAAATGCACTTAGAATTAACAACATAGTATTGATAGTTTTACTTGACATATACCACAGGTCTTTTTCACATTGTAACATGGAAATGTATTATTATAGTGAATATGTAATATTCAGTCTTGCTGATTAAATTGTTAAATAGTAATTTATTATTAACTAATTCATTATTATTTTAGATTACATATATAATATTTTATTATTTAATTTATTATTTAATAGTAATTTATTATATAAATTATTCTCTCTCCCTCTGTCTGCTCTTCTTCTGGAGAGGCAGCTTCTGCCTCTCTCTCCCTTCTCCCCCCTTCTCTCCCTTCTCTCCTTCCCTTTTCCCTCCCTAACCCACTAAATAAACTCTATACCCAAACTCTCTCTGCATGGTGTATCTATCTGTCTGTCTTCTACCAAGGCCTCAAGCCACCCGCCAGCGGACCCGCCGAGTTCTCCATGGTCCCCATGGGACCGTTTCCCATCACCTCTTTATAAATGATAACATTGGTACATGACATGGCCAGGCTCTCTCCATGTTTCCTCCCATCCACTGGTGGCCAGCTGAGGACACGTGGGGACCCTGGACTCGGACCACTTTCCAACATCCTGTGCCTGCTTCATCTCAGGCTTCTGAATCCATGATAGCATACCTCCCCCAACCCCCCATAAAAACCTATGGCATCAGAGGAGGTAAAGACCAGAGTGAAATCTCTGAGACCATGAACTGAAATGGAGTTCTCCTCCTGTAGGTTACTGATTGCAGGTTTTTGTCATAGTGATGGGTAATTTAGCATATCAAACATGGCAGATAAAAGAAGTAACTCCAGGCAGAATGCATACACCTGTTCCAAAATGCAGGCATCACTATTTTTTATGAAAAGTAAATTCTTATAATTATGCCAAAGAAATGTAACTCACCTATACAATCTGGTTTCACTGAAATTCTTCGAGGTGGTATATACTTTTTTACATTCCATCTGAATTTCCTTGCAGCAACTGAGGTTTGAATAATCATTACTTTTGTGAATTCTTCAGTGCCTTGTATCTGAAAGTTGATGGAAGATGCGTTGCTTCTGAGTGTATGTTATGTGGTTACCCCAGCAAGCTTGTTTTCTAGGTTCTCAGCCTCCTGACTGCTGGGATGACCAACATTAGGCACCATACCTTGTTCTGCATGCACACACTTCTTTGATGTATTCGGGTATATTATTTCAGACAGACTTTATGGTAACAACCCTAACAGTATGCTGTCCTTAGTAGATGAAAACCAAACCCCACTAAACACACTGCTGCTTATTCAACAGAGCACTTGAGACATAGTTTCTTTACTAAACATCAGAAACTGCCAGGTTTTGTCTTTTATATGATTAATGATAGATGGTCACTATTGATAACATATCTTTAGGATGAAGTACGGCTCAAAGTCATTCTTAAGGATATTTGGATACAGGGTAAACCCAGTAAGTATTGCTGAAAATGATCATTCCACAATGTGTTTATTGTAAGCACCATTTAGTGCCTATTCTGTTTTTGAGACGTTAAGGGGCTGGTAGGGCCATTCGGCATTTTGACTGACAGCTGACAGACTCTACCTTACGTCCTATCGTCTTGAGTCCCGAGTTGTCAGACCAACAGTTTCTGCTCTAGTAACTCCTGTGATCACCCAACAAACTCCCCTCTGGCTGCATGGACCACAGCATCCACAAGTGCTGTTCAAGCTTCAGCTCCTGCTTAAGGAGGTCTTGCTCTACTCAACCACCTCTCCAGGCAATTAGCATCAGCTCTGCAACATCCCACTCCAGGAAAAATATGCCCTTGTCAACTGGAGGAGACCATGTTCATCCCGCAGCTATTCTCACAGGGGGCAAGAGATGCAGCCCTCCCCAGTGCCAAAGCTATGGCTGGTCATAAAGGATGTAATTGGTGCGTACGAAAGGGTTGTGATTGGTGGAAATAAAAGCTGTGCAAGCACAGGCCTGTGATTAGTATACTACCAGGGTGCCCTAACCCCCTTCTGTATATATAATATATACATAGAATACATATACTTATAACGTATGTATATGCATATAAACAAGCTTTCACTAAGTCTCCCACAACAGTGGAGCATTGAATCCAAACATACTCTCCTATTGTTATCTTATTGCAGATACAGTCAGCAGAGATAGCGGAGAAAAGAATAGAACAGGACCTCGGGAGCAGGGGCAGCAGCCACAAAGCCACTAAAGAGTTGCAGAGAATATCCAAGGCAGAAACCATATGAAGTTAAGAAGGTGATTGACATTGAAAATGCTGTGAAGAGCCAAAGGCAGACATTGGAAGGACAGAAGACAGCAGGCTGTGGTTGCTAGGAGACTGGTTGCTAGGAGGCCAAGGATTATGGAGCTAAGAGTCCAGACATGCAGATCTCACCACAGTAACCCCCCAGCTTTGAATGGTTGGAGCTATAAACCCCTGGTCATGGCATAGACCTCAGGGTCAAAGCTGTCAGTCACAAGGGAGCTACCAGGTGAGAATCCAGGATTTACAGCGGGGTGGCTGAAGTAGTAACAGGCTGTATTTTGACAAGAAGGAATTGACTCAGTAGGTGAAAGGAATTAGCTGTGTCAGGGTCTCAGTGAACAGAGAGAAAACAGGAGTTAGGGAATCAACAAGAAAACCTACAATCACAAAGGCGCTGGCCCCACAACGTTCAGCTAAGTTCACCAAGCTCAGAGTATTTTTGTGTCTATCAGCTTTCCATTTGAAAGAAACTCACCCAAAATAAAACAAGCCTTCTCATGTGCATAGCTAGGACGCCTGTTAAGGAATTCCACATAACAGTGTGCTCTCTAGGGTGAAAAGTTCATCTGACCTGACCTTCAACAACGGCCTGAAGACAGCCTAGCAGATCTTTGTAGGGGGATTTCAGCTCCAGTCAATCAAGGAAGCTGATAAAATCATTTGAATGAGTTCTTTTGTGGTTGTCTGCCTGGCTCCCCGACTCCCCACCACCCTTGCCACCACCCTGACAGTGGTTGCACCATTCCCTGGTGACTAAAATCCAGTAAAAACTGCCCAGAAGCTTGCTTTCTATCCCTCGGTCCCAAGTCTATCCTGGAAGTACACATATGTACTGTTCCATGCCAGCTGTGCACTGTGACTACACATATGTACCTGTTCCATGCCAGCTGTGCACTGTGACTATACACATGTATTGTTCCATGCCAGCTGTGCACTGTGACTACACACATGTATTGTTCCATGCCAGCTGTGCACTGTGACTACACACATGTACTGTTCCATCCCAGCTGTGCACTGTGACTACACACATGTACTGTTCCATCCCAGCTGTGCACTGTGACTACACACATGTCCCTGTTCCATGCCAGCTATGCACTGTGACTACATACATGTACCTGTTCCATGCCTGCTGTGCACTGTGACTACACACATGTACCTGATGATTTTCACGGGACTAATGTCCTGTGGGCAGTCACATTGGTCTTGCTCACTGTGCTATTCTAGCTCTGCTCCTGTGTATTCAGCTGCCTGGAATGTATCTGAATGCACCCGTGGCTAATGGAACTGATTTCTGTGTCTCTCTGATTCACTTCCTGTAGTTCTCTTTCACATATCCCCAATTCCTCCCAGATTGTGCCTCTTGTACTCTCTGTCCGCTGTGTACAAATGCATACCCACACTCGCACACACAAAGATTCTCTCTGACTTTGCATCTGGCTCGGATTGTCCTTTTGAACTCCTAACAGTTTAAAGGGGTAGTGCTCGCTTTTATATTCATTTTCTGAGCTTTTATATTCATTTTCTGAGCCAGAGGAAACCATCTGCCACTCTGGTTAGTGGGGTTTGTCAGAACCTTCCAGAGTACTGCTGGCACAGTCCTTCTGAAATATATGAATGAAACTAGTAGGTCTCACAGAAGTAAAATGTAACTGTGGCCGAAATTCTGCACTTTGGTGTGTTTCGTTGGCTTTGACAGTGGATGGACAAAGCTCGCCTCTAGGGCACTGGATGCAAATGCAGTCAAGGAACACTTGTGCGTGTGAGTGCACACAGGTGTGGACGAGCATGCGATTGTGGGGATGGAGGGAAGGTGCAGATGGGAAGGTGGAAAGCCTGGCTGTCGTGACAGTTTTCCTGATTTTAAGTCATTGTCGGGAGTGTACCTGGTGGCATGTCACAGGAATTAGGAAAGGTGCCTTGTAAATTTTTCGCAACTGGCAGTCTTCTGCAGCTCCGTGGATTAGGACAACGTGGGTTACAGTCTCATCGTAGATGTCGGTTTTTGTGGTCTTGGGGATGTCCCGGATGAAGACGTTGCAGAGTTTCAACTGCATCTTGTAGTTCCAGTCCTGATGGAGAAGCACAGCTTCATGTCTGTTAGTTGCTCACAGTTTCTGCCACCATCTCTGTGCTGGTTTGCTTGGGGATGGGGGTGGGTAGGAAGACTTCAGAAAGAACTTCTTACCTCAAAAGGTAAGTGTTCCCGGATCTTTTGGGCAGTAATGGCAAGCCCGATTTTTTGCCACATTTTATGTTTTAGGTTAGGATATCTTTTTTCAAAACCTTCATACAAGTGGCTGATGGGAATGAAATATGTCTGCAGAAAGCAAGGTGGAAAGTGAACAATTTGTGCATGCCCATGGCTGAAGAAATATCTGCATCTCCATACAGTGGCATTCAAGCTAAGAATCAAGATGCTTGTGCAGTCCAGAAATCTCACAAAATACATTCATTACCTCATACTTGTCATCTTGCCATAGCCACAATTCTAGAAAGTCTCATGAACCAACAAGGACTCTATTATTTATTTTTGTAAACTGTATGTCTTTCTGGGTGTAGACTGATGTTTGCACGTCCTGAAATTGTATCAAGCTAAACACCAGCCCTCACCTTAGGTATTTAATTTTATCCTTTCCATTGGCAAATAAGAGCTATGAGATGCACATCAAGCTAATTAACGTATCTTAACTTTTTCAGCGTACAATGTTTTTGTGTCAAGGCTATTCTTTTAACTGTTTTGACATATACATTGTTATTACTGTGTTCACCATGCAGTGCTAAACACTAAAATATACTCTTCTGGTAAACTGAAGTGTACCCGTGACTACCACCTTCCCTTCCCCTTCCAGGCACTTCAGGTCACCACCCCTCTGTGCTCTCGGAGACAAGTCTGCTGCTTTACAGTCTACCTGGAGGTTAAAAAACGCAGTATTGTCTTTCTGTTCCCAGTTTGTAACAGCTGCACATTCTCCTTCAGGATCATTCACCCTGCTGCAAAAATGGAATCTCATCCATTAAAAAGCTTTTTTTACTCTGATTAACATTTATTCCATCAATTAATTAATCAACACGCATGCCAAGGCACAGCTGTGAAAATCAGGGGGCAACTTGCAGTGAAAGATTGCTGAGGTTCATCGTAGAGATTCATTTGTTATTTGGTCACTGAGAGTCACTGCAGGCTGGCTGTTATAATTTAGATAGTTGAAAGCCTTAGGTATGTTCTGAAACAGTGTAAGATGGAGGCGAGTTAACTTTCTGTCTCCTCCGTGAATCACGTCAGTGCTCACTCTCAGCACTGACACAGCAGATCTAGAGAAGGCGGGGCTCATCTCTGCCTCGATGGGGCAGGTCCTGAGAAGGCTACTTGACGTGTGCTCTCTACTTCCATGGTCTATTATTTCTGCTTCTTAAGATGGATGCTGCTGGTTTAAAACAGTTTCTGCTTTTTGACAACTGAACCTTAAATGTTCTTAATCTGTGGTGGCATTTCTTCTATTGCTTTTTATTTTTTGAAACAAGGTTTTGCTTTGTGGCTCTGGCTGGCCTAGAACTTGTTATGTAGAGCAGGCTAGCCTTGAATTTGGGAGGATAATCTTGTCACTTTCTGAGATTACAGGTGTATGCCCCTGCACCTGGTGGCTCTTCTTTACCACTAATATCTCTAAGTCATTCTCAACAATCTATGAAGTGTGATTTTCCCTCAGCCTGTTGGGATCTTTCAGCTGAGGACATGTAGAGTGTCTCCATGGGATTCTGCCTGTGGGACACCAGCTGGATGCTGGACTACAACCAGCCATTTAATTGACTACAACTGTACAGTTCATCAAAACCACTGTGCCTGGAGAACAGTTGAGGGAGGAGAGACATGAGTGAGGTGGAGGGTTGTCCTAGGGGAACAGTCTCTCTCTCTCTCTCTCTCTCTCTCTCTCTCTCTCTCTCTCTCTCTCTCTCTCACACACACACACACACACACACACACACACGGTTAGGTGAAGGAACAGTGTCACACACACACGGGTGAGAGGAAGGCTGTCCTAAAGAACAGTGTCACACACACATGGGTGAGGGGAAGGTCTGTCCTAAAGAACAGTGTCACACACACGGGGTGAGGGAAGGGCTGTCCTAAAGAACAGTGTCACACACACATGGGTGAGGGGAAGGTCTGTCCTAGAGAACAGTGTCACACACACGGGGTGAGGGGAAAGGCTGTCCTAGTTTCTCGTGTTGCTGTGATGAAACATTCTGTCAGAAAGTATCAAGTATCTAGAGTAGAGATTTATTTGGATTCCCACTGCAAGCTAGAGTCCGGCATTCTGGGTAAGCCAGGCAGGAGCTCAAGCAGCTGCTCACTCACATCTATGGACAAGAGCAGAGAGATGAATATGTCTGTCTCTGCCTGCTCTCAGTCAGCTCTGTCTTCCCTTTTGATGTTTGTGGCCTGGAGAGCAGGGCCTCTGACAATGGGCCAGGCCTTCTCCATTGATTAAAAACCCACACGGTCCCCTACAGACACACTCGTGTGTCAGCCTGGTCTAGATCATTGCTCATTAAGAATCCTCCCAGGTGATTCTAGACTGGTCAAATTGACAGTTAAAATTAACACGCTTTTTTTTTTGTCATTAAAAATGTAACTTCTCTTCCCAGGACTTCCAGACTTATCTTCATCCCTGCTTGTTTATCGAGATGAAAGGCATGGCCCCGTGTGAGGTTTCGTGCTTGGTTGTGGTGGGTGTACTATGTCATACAGTGGCTTCATTATAGTTTGCTAGTGTTATTTTTTTATCCAAATCCTAGTTACCCAGAATGCCATATGTGTTTATTTTACTCTGTCATTACTTAAAGATGTTTTAAAAATGGAACAGATGTGATTATCCTACTAAAACAAACAAACCAAAAAAAAAAAAAAAACCAAGTAAATAGGTCTATAAGGCTGTGAGAAACTAGGTAGCCATGTAAAATCCATACCTGAATCACTGGCCTCCGAGTGGATAATGGTAATTGGTGTGTATGTGAATGCACAGATATGCGCTCACATCTAAATCTATTGTGACTGACAGCTCGACTTTCTGTGACTCTTTCAAATGCCAAGCTTTATACAACTTGTTTGAAATACCCCATCAACACCGTGCTTGTTCCTCTGTGCTCTACCCAAACCTAAGCTAAAGTGCACAGAAAAATATGGGCTCTTGAGCATCAATCTGGAGATACGATAACAGATCTCCCTATCCTCTCACCGTGCACTTGTAGCCCTGTTTTCACTTATAAAAGTATCCTTTTTGCAGGAAACACAGACTCCGGCTAAAATTCTGCTTCTTCTTTTTAACCACATCCTTTCCCATCTTCCCTACTCTGTACCTAAAATGTATGTGGAATGAGCTCTCTATTAGTTAAACATCTTCACTTTTCAAATGAGATTCTAATGCTCCTGGCCACTCGAACCCTTTAAAAATTCTCTTCACCTAAAACTCATTATAAAAAACATCCAATATTTTGTTCATATTAAAATTTCACAAGTTGTCTCCATTACATCTCTTTATACTTGGTTTATTCAAATGAGAGCAATTGCACACGGGTGTCCATTTTCACTAAAATTCCCTTGCCTTCACCGAATTTCCACTTAATGCCACTAACTTGCTAGAAAAGCTAGGGCGCTTGTCCTTCAAACCCTCCACATTCTAGATAAATCAAACTGTTTGCTCTTGGCTTCACTGACTTGTCTCCTTATGTGCCCTGGAAAAACTGTTCCTAGAAAGAACCTCTGGTTTTGCTTCTTCCCTGTGCTTTTCTAGTTGAAAGTCATTGCTCTTTCTGTGGCAGTGGAAGCTCCTGCAACCCTGTTTTGCCCTCTGTCATGTGTGGGGTGGGAGGAGGGCTTTTCATCAATCTGATCAGCTTTCCTACCACATGCTAGTGCTGACTCCCCCCCCCCCCCCCTTCTTTACCCTACAATTTATGGCACATTCTTTTCTTTTCCTTGTTCTTTTTAACGAAAATTATTTTATTGTGGTGAACTCATAAGTTAAACTTCAGACAGCTAGATTAAAGCCTTCATTCAAGTAGGAATTTACCTAGTCCTAAACTCTATATATGTTAGCGAACTTCTAGCCAATCTGTACATGCTATTAATAGTTAAAACATTCTATCCAATTTTACCATGAAACAGCTCATCTGACTCAGATTCCTAAAATATTCTTTCACTGTGGTAGGCTCACTTTTGAAGCCGCTTTGCTAGGGTATTATGTAAAATGTGTATATATTATATTATACAATATATAACATATTATGTAAAGTGTGTATATATCTGTAAACAATGCATGCTCCTTTACCATTCCTATACTTAAAGTACATGTTGACACTGGCCCTTGAGCCCTAAAAGTATCCTAGATTTGATACCAGGCATGGAATGAGCTATAACTGCAAGCCGGAAGCACGGGGCTCCCACCTCCACGACGGTCTTGCAGGTGGCTGAATACTGCATCGGCTGTCTCGTCAGACAATTGAGCTCTCCTATTATTTCCCCGCTGAGTAAATACTCTGTGTAATGATGAGTGTAAGTTTTAATGTCTGACTCCGAGGGTACCCGCTCCAGCTCCAGCTGCGGCTTTGACCTTCGAAGCTGTTAAGAGAACAACGAGGAAAACGCGTAGGCTGGTTAATTTACAACACCCAAACTCGTCACTTCAGTTTTAACCGTTACATTGTAACCACAGGGTTCTAGAAATGGTTCTCCCTCTTGAAGTCAAGCTATTAAATTAAGCACTATGGTAGTTTGAACGTTAATTGGTTCCCATAGTCTCACAGAGAGTGGCACTCTTGGGAGGTGTGGCTTGGGCCTTGTTTGAGGAAGTGTGTCACTGTGAGGCATGCTTTGAGGTTTTCTGTGCTCAGGATGCTACAAATGACTCCATTCACTTCCTGTCCTTGCATGCTGTAGGGCTCTTAGTTATTCCTCCAGCACCATGTCTGCCTGCACGCTACCATGCTCCCCACTGTGATGAGAATGGATTGAATCTCTGAGCTGTCAGCTGCCACCTCTGTTAAATGCTTTCCTTTGTAAGAGTGGCTGTGGTCCTGTGTCTCTTCATAAGGATAAAACACTAAGACAAGCAGTGACTTTCCCAGAGAGCTTTCTGTAGCAAGGTGAGGATTTCTGACTTCCCTCTGCAGGCCAATTTGTATAAATCTTAAAGGGCTGAATCTCCCATTCATATAAACACAAGATGAGCCATGACTGGTAAGTTTACATCTTCAGAGGTGGCCCTTTGTGGTGTTTCCTCTTATATATTGAGACACGTGGCTTGAAAAGTGGCAGGTCGCTGGCCATTGTGTCTGTCCTGGAAATTATCATTTGCGTGCTAATTGCTCCCCTAAGGAAAGATCCCAGTTATGGTATAGAAAATCAATAATTCTTCAATTTGCAAAGTTCTTTCTTTTTTTTTTAAAAGAAAACAATTTGAATATTCTCAATTACATTCACAAATATCTCTGCTTTACCTTGACCATGCCTGAAATTATTACGTAGATTCCTTCTGGTTCATCACCTTCTTCAAATATGTTATTTCCACAATCAAATGTTACAACTTTTGCTTTTTCCTAAAGAAAAAAAAAAAGAAAAAGAAAAAAAGAAAGTGATCCGGGATGTTGGTTTATCCTTTGATAGAACTTTTGCACATTTATGGTAAATATTCATTAAGATCTAAGAAGCTGTGTTGGTTGTAAATTTGTAAGAGAAAACAGGAATTATGAATGGTATGCAGAGAAATGTAGAGGGTCATGAATATTATAAATTTAATATGAAATGCTCATTTTATGAAGAAAAATAATCTAGAAATAAGAATGGAGTGGGAGATTGAAAATGTTTCATCTAGGTGAAACGTTGCGGGGAGATGGAACTAGTGTCATGTTCACATCTTAGTCACTCGAAGACGCTAAGCATGTAACTATCCAGTGTTAATACCGAAGAGAAAGAAGTGTAACTTGTCTTCTTCTACTGCACACGCACTGAAAAGAATACTATGCAAACAAGTCAGGCCTATTGATTTATCCATTCCACAAACACTCAATGAGTGTGTTCTATGCATTATGCGGAATCATGGAGTAGACATTCAAAAGATGCATGAAGCCAGACATCATGGTTCATGTTTGCAGTCCTGACATCTGGGAAGCGACTTTGAAGCCAGCTTGGGTTACATAGCAATATTCTTTCTCTGAATCAACAACCAAAGGGAAAGAAAAGGAAAAATAAAAGATGAATGAGCTAAATAGTGGGGGAAGAGATATAAAATTACTTGTTTTGTAATGTACTAATAGTATAGCAGAAACTACTAGAAACAATGGTAGCACATTTCCTTACTTCAAACTAAAGACAGCATGGTTGGTATTCTGGTGAGAAATTAGCCTACTTCTGGCAGTCTACAGAAGTACAACAAGTAAAGAAAGCTTGAAAAAGGTCTAGGACCAGCGGACATTTTCAGGAAGTCACACTGGATGTGCATATTAATGGAATTAGAAAGCAGTGTAGTACAAATGGCACCAGCAGTCGTTCAGCATAAGCAGAATGAAGGGTGCGTGACATGGGAGAGACGGAAGCTGATGTGGAGAGGCAGGTGGGAGGCAGCTTGTGCTAGGACATTGGGTTGTATTCAGAGAGATGCTGATTGTATCCTGAAGATAGCAAGGGGGAAATGACACAGTTTTAACTTGTAGGCATCCCAACTAAATTTTTCTTGTTTTAATGATTACTTGCCAAAACATTAAAGGTATTATTAGGAAGTGAAAATTTTACCTGAATAAATTGTATGGCTTCAGCATCTTTACTCAGCCAGGGGATATAGTATGGGGATTCTTCAATGTTGAGAGGCTGGACGATGGACTGCATATCAAGTACCTCAATCTTTTTGGCCATGATTAACTAGAAGCACAAAATAGGAAGCAGGGTGAGCCAAACTCATGTATACAGAATGAGGGTGAGGAAGAGGAGGAGGAAGGGGGGGAGAACAGCAGTGTTTTGTTTTGTTTGTTTTTTACTGTATTGTGTTTATCCACTGTCTGCTCTGGAGGACACTGCAGACCCAAGACACAGGATGCGAGGGTCTCCCATCCTGGATTGTGGTACTTTGACTGAGAAGTGTCCCCTATAGGGCCACATATCTGAACACTTGGTTGTCCCTTACAAGCTCATATCTTTGAGCACTTGATCTTCCATTGGGAACCTATTTGGGGAGGGTGTAAGAGGTGTGGCCCTGCTGGAAGAGGCGTGTCACTAGTGGTGGGGTTTGGGAGTGTCTAGTCATCTCCTGCATAAATTCTTTCTCTCTCTCTGCTTTCCATTTGAGGTTGAGGAAGTGATCTTTCAGCTCCTTCTTCCTGCTACCATCCCTACACCTATGACCATGCTTCTCCACTATAATGAACTTTACTCCCCTGGTACTGTAAGTGCCAATAATGCGTACTCAACACTGGGTTAGTGTCTGTTTGCATCTGGTTTAGTCACTACACATTTGTATTTCTGAAGTTTACCTGTGATTGCAACATGATGTATAAAAGCTCAGACTGAAGCAACTCAGGTGTCAGTCAATAGTAGAGTGCTATAGTCATAGGATATATATATATATATATATGCATATATGTATATATATGCATATACACACACACATATATATGCATATATATATACAAGCACACCATCTTTGTTTATTTGAAATTATGAAGTGCTAGATCTAGGAAAAAAATCTTGAAGAAGAAAACTGAAAGATGCAATCAGATATAAAGAATTATTTAACATCTGTCCATAATCAAGATAATGTGGCTTGGTACAATGGCAAATACAGCAAGAAGAAGGAATCCAGAAACTTACACACACACACATACACACACACACAAACGCTTGCACACATGCAGTCACAAAACCCAAGACAGTCTCCGACAGTGTAATGGGGAGTGAAGTGGCATTTTTCATAAGAGGTGCTGGAACAAATGGATCAAATAATTATCCATGAGGGAAAATGTTCAATTTACTGTGTAGCATTGTGATGCCAGGCTGTCTAAATGCCACTACTGCCCTCTTCTCGCCTCCCTCCCTATTTCCTATAGGATAAACTTTCCTGCTGATCAACTTGAGCTTTTATTTCAAAATGCTTAAACATTATTATTATTATTATTGTTTTTGGCTTTTTACAGTATTGTGCATAGTAGCACGGGTTCTGGATTCGGAATGCCAGGATTAGAAGACAGACATCTGGGGCTGGAGTGATAGAGCAGCTGTTACAAGTGCATCCTGCTGCTCCGGAGGGCCTGTTTGGTTCTCAGCACCGATGTGACTCACAGCAGCCTGTAATCCCAGCTTTGGGGGACCTAATGCCCTCTTCAACATGCTGTGACTATCTGCACTTTGCACTCACACACATTCTGCATGTATGCAATTTTCGAGTATTTTATATGCAAGTACCATATTTAAATCATTTCCACCCCTCCTTCTCCTGCCTCCAACTTCTTCAGCTCCCTCTCAAATGCATGATATCTTCAACTATTGTTAGATACACATATACCTACCTACCTACATAATACGTGTGCATATATATCATGTATCATCCTGTTGAGTCCATTTGGTGTTAGCAATATATGTGTGTGTTTAGGGTTGACCACTTGGCATTGGATAATGAACCGGGGCATGTGTTTTCAAAGCTGAGTTTTTTATTCGCCATTTTGATATAGGTGCTGATTTGTATTTAGTCTATAGTATTTAAATTTAGTTTATATTTTTGAATTTGTATGAGTTGACAAGAAAATATATCATTACTAGTTTTCATTTTCTTAGTTCTGTTTTTCTTTATGACAGTGCTTGTGTAGTCCAACTAAGTCTCTAGTACATCTCTACGCCAAGATCATCTTGAATTCCTGATCCTCCTGCCTCTGCTTCCATTATAGGTATACCCTAGCACTACCAGCTTTTTTTCATATATGTAATTAACCTTGGTATTGAAATCAGGGCTTTGTTGATGGTAGGCGAGCACTCAACCACTGAACTCCATCCTTAGTTGCTTCGTTTCTATTTTTGTAAGATTTATTTTTAGTTGTAATTATGTACGTATGTGTGCGTTAGTCTGGTGCCAGTAGGGCTCCCAGATGCAAGAAGAGAATGTGAGGCCTCCTGGAGCTGCAGTTACAGGCTGACTTGAGTTCACAACATGGGGACTAGAAACTGAGCTTGGGTCCCTACAAGAACAATATGTGTTCTGAAAGAGTTCAGTCATCTCTCAAACCATCGCTCCAGTTGCTAGCTCATTTTTCTTTTCCTTTGTTTTTCTTCCTTCCCTTCTTTCCTTTTCTTTTTCCGTCCTTCATTTTTGTTTCTTCCTTTCTCCCTTCCTCCTTCCTTTTTTTAATTTTTTTTCTTAATGTAGTTATTGCAGCCCTGGAAATTCTTTTGTACACAAGACTGTCCAGGAACTCTCCGAGATCTGTCTACTTCTACCTCCTGAGTTAATTTCTCTTTTTTTCTATTGATTTGTATTGAGCTATACATTTTTCTCTACTCCCCTCCCTGCCTCTGCCCTTCCCTTCAACCCTCTCCCATGGTCCCCAAACTCCAAATTTACTCAGGAGATTTTGTAGATTAGGTCCAGGTATGCCTCTCTTAGCTTCCTCATTGTTGTCTAGGTTCTCTGGGATTGTGATTCATAGGCTAGTTTTCTTTGCTTTAAGTTTAAAAATCACTTATAAGTGAGTACATATGATAATTGTCTTTCTGGGTTGGATTACCTCCCTCAATATGATGTTTTCTAGCTCCATCTTTTGCCTGCAAATTTCAAGATATCATTATGTCTCTCTGCTGTGTAGACTTTATTGTGTAAATGTACCACATTTTCCTTATCCATTCTTCACATGAGGGACATTAAGATTGTTTCCAGGTTCTAGCTATGAAAAACAATGCTGCTATGAACATAGCTGAGCATATGTCCTTGTGGTATGATTGAGCATCCCTTGGATATATACCTAAAAGTGGTATTGTTGGGTCTTGAGGAAGTTTGTTTCTTAATTTTCTGAGAAATTGCGATACTGATATCCAAAGGGGATGTACCAGGTTTTACTCCCACCAGCAATGCAGGAATGTTCCCTTTATCCCACATTCTCTCCAACGTAAGCTGTCATCAGTGTTTTTGATCTTGGTCATTCTTACAGGTGTAAGATGGATTCTCAGAGTTGTTTTGATTTGCATTTCTGATGGCTAAGGATGTTGAGCATTTCCTTGAGTGTCTTTCAGCCATTATGGATTCCTCTGTTGAAAGTTCTCTGTTTAGGTCTGTACTCCATTTTTTATTGGATTATTTCTTTTGATGACCAATTTCTTGAGTTCTTTGTATGTTTTGGAGATCAGACTCTGATCTCCTGATGTGGGGTTGGTGATGATCTTTTTCCATTCTGTAGGCTGCCATTTTGTCTTGTTGACTGTGTCCTTTGCTTTACAAAAGCTTTTCAGTTTCAGGAGGTCCCATTTATTAATTGTTTTTCTCAGTGTCTATGCTCCTAGGGTTATATTTAGGAAGTGGTCTCCTGTGTCAATGTGTTCAAGTATACTTCCAACTTTCTCTTCTATGAGGTTCAGTGTGACTGGCTTTATGTTGAGGTCTTTGATCCACTTGGACTTGAGTTTTGTGTATGGTGATAGATATGGGTCTATTTCATTCTTCTACATGTTGATATCCAGTTATTCCCGCACCATTTGTTGAATATGCTTTTTTCCCTTTAATATTTTTTGCTTTATTGTCAAAAATCAGGTGTTTGTAGGTGTGTGGATTAATATCCGAGTCCTTGATTCAGTTCCATTGGTCCGCCTGTCTGTTTTTATGCCAATACCAGGCTATTTTCTGTACTGTAGCTCTGTAGTAGAGTTTGAAGTCAAGGATTGTGATGCCTCCAGAAGTTCCTTTATTCTACAGGATTGTTTTATCTATCCTGGGTTTTTTTTTTTTTTTTTTTTTTTTGCTTTTCCATATGAAGTTGAGTACCATTCTTTTGAGCTCTGTGAAGAATTTTGCTGGGATTTTGATAGACATTGTATTGAATCTGTAGATTGCTTTTGGGAAGATTGCCATTTTTACTATGCTAATTTTACCTACCTAAGAGCGTGGGAGATTTTTCCACTTTTTGGTGTTTTCTTCAATTTCTTTCTTCAAAGATTTAAAGTTCTTGTCGTACAAATTTTCCACTTGTTTAATTAGAGTTATTCCAAGACATTTCATGCTATTTGTGGCTATTGTGAAGGGTGATGTTTCTCTGATTTCTTTCTCAGCCCATTTATTATCTGTGTAAGGAGGGCTGCTGATTTTTTTTTTTTTGAGTTAATCTTGTATCCTGCTACATTACTGAAAGTGATTATGCATTGTAGAAGTTTCTTGGTAGAATTTTTGGGGTTGCTTATGTAAACTATGATATCATCAGCAAATAGTGAGAGTTTGACTTCTTTTCTGATTTGTATTACCTCGATCGTCTTTTGTTGTGTTATTGCTCTAGCTAGGTCCTCAAGAATTATATTGAATAGATATGGAGAGAATGGACAACCTTGTCTTGTTCCTGATTTCAGTGAGATCTCTGGGAGTTTCTTTCCATTTAGTTTGATGTTGGCTGCTGGCTTGCTGTATATTGCCTTTATTATGTTTATGTATGTTTCTTGTGTCCCTGTTCTCTTCAAGACTTTTATCATAAAGGGATGTTGTAGTTTGTTGAAAGTCTTTTCAGCATCTGAGATGATCATGTGGTTTTCAGTTTGTTTATATGGTAGAATATGTTGACAGATTTTTGTATGTTGAACCATTCTGCATCTCTGGTATAAAGCTGACTTGATCATGGTGGATGATGTTTTTGGATTTTATTTGCCAGTATTTCATTAAGTAATTTTGCATCAATGTTCAT